TACAAATTTGGTTTTCTTTCTTCTTCTTAATTTTTTCTCATTCCTTTCTTTAATTTGTTGTTTCTGTCCTTATCAAAAGTTTTGCCATGAGAATGAGTTTATGATTAAAAAAAAGAAAGTTTAATTAAGATGTAGATAATTTGCTTTGCTTTAGGCTGGCTTGAACAAGTGAACTATTCTAAGTTAGCTAACGAATGTAAATACTATGATTAGTCTAACGGTTGAATAAGTAATTCATGTGAAGATTTTGTCTAAATATTAGGATTTTGTTATTCTGTCTTATAACAAAAACTTTAAAAAAAACATCCAAAAAAATCCTGCTTCGTATCATGCCACCTGTACATGGCAAAGTAGAACAGTACCAGCTCCAGTAGCGTCAAACTGACAATCTACTGTTGAACAGGGAAGGTAAGAGCATGACTATCTAATTTTAGTTTTTTTAACAAGAACTAATTTTGTTATTTAATAGCCTTGATCATGATGTTGAATGGAAAAATTTGAATTATGACCTCGCCCATTTATACGTCCAATTTGAATTATGCCTAGTCATAGTTCTAATTCAAATTATGACCAGTCCAGTTGAATTATGACTATAACATATTCATAAAAACGTGAAGAAGCATATCCCGATCGAGATATATATCGGGATTAGGCATGCACCAATTAATAATCGATGTTAGGGCATTCAGCAGTGTCGTTCCGCGTTAGTTATATAAAAGCACTCAGGAGGAAATATGCCCAACTGATCAGACGTTTTCGGCGTAAAGCCTAGCGGACTAGGAGTAATCGATGGCGCTGAATCTGAATATCACATTGGTTTTGACTAATATCTTTTCCAAGATCCCATTTTTTAGAAAACCAAATCGATGCAGCGAAAAACTTTTTTCATGAAAAGGGTTTCCTGATCCGTCTATCTTGTAGAGGATATCGAGAAATCTCTGGTACACTAATTTTCAGAATTTTTACAATGTTTTTGAACGATTTATAAAGTCTAGAACTTAAACGATTCAAGCAGTTTTAATCTTTTGTTTTACGAGGTATGTTTAGATTTCCGAAAAAAGCCAATTTCCGAAATTACAAAAATTTACCATTCACCATGCAGCTTCGTCGATGCACGAAATACAGAAATTTACCAGAAATTACCCAGATTCACTAATACCTCAAAACCAAATCTCCTAGAAATTTCAGTAATTACCCACTAACGAAAAAGAAAATTTCTCAGTAATTTCTCAAATAGCAAACATTTTCAAAACTAATTACTAAGAATTTACTACCCCAGTAAAAGGAAATCACGCAAAACACCCGAAGCAGCGAGTATCAGGAAACTTCTTTATTAGATAGAAATACCCATTAGAATAGGGACCCCTATCCTCGAAAATAAGAGAATTTTTAGAAATTTCGGTAATTTTGTGGAAATTTTGGTAATTACTGGGTAATAACTGTAATTTCTATTATTTATCGGATCGAGATACCCATTAGAATTGGGATCCCCGTCTCCAAAAAGACGAAAATTTCTAGAAGTTTCGCTAATTTCTAGGAGAAATTTCGTAATTACTTTTCGTAATTACTGAGAAATTACTGGAATTTCTATTATTTATCAGATTGAGATATCCATTAGAATTGGGACCCCTATCTTCGAGGTGCCTATTCTAATGGATATCTCTATCTAATAAATAATAGAACTTTCACAACTTTCTCAGTAATCACCAAAATTTCCTCGAAATTACCGAAATTTCTAAAAATTCTCTTATTTTCCAAGATGATAGTAATGGAAAACACATGAGATATATGTCCGTCGGCTCCATTTTCCACGCACATTGGGAATATGAGATTCGCTTTGGTCTGAAATGTTGGTTTACTGGCGAAATTTAGGAACACAGAATTTCAGGCTGAATCGACTGATTTTACTTACGAATACTGAAGCTAATCGAGTAGAAAAAATCCGAAATAAGGCTGAAAAACAGATTTTCACTAGTATCTTGTTGTTCTGACCCCCTCAACATAGCTCGCACAGCTCAAAGCTTTACACGCTCTATCCGCTGATACTAAAACAAAGCAGAAAAACGTTGCACCACACGCCAGAAAACGCAATTTCAGTGATTATCAGCAGGTTTTCGGTGGTATTTCCTAAATTTCGCCCGTAAAGCAACATTTCGGACCAAAGCGAAGGTCATATAAAAAAACCGATGGAAACATTTCGCGAAACTAAGTGTCAGGAAATGTTCCTAGGCATGCCCTGACATGATTCCAATAGAGAAATCTCAAGAATATTGGAGGGACACAAACTATCCTAATCCGCCATCCTCCTTTCAGTAATTTCCCAGTAATTACCAAAATTTCCTCCTATCAGTCGATTCAGCTTGAAATTCTGTGTCGATTGATGTGCTTTTATGAATATTTCCGTGCTGCCAGAAGAAAAAAACGAATTTATACTCGAGTTTGAAGGATTTTGAAAAAAGTCAATAATTTTGAGTTTTTGGTGGGACCACAGGCCTCAAAAAACCGATAGAAGGATTTCGTGAAACTAAGTGTCAGGAAAAATAGGCATGCCCTGATGATTCCAATAGAAAAATCTCAAGAATATTGGGGGACAGAAACTATCCTAATCCGCCATCCTCCTTTCAGTAATTTCCCAGTAATTACCAAAATATCCTCAAAATTACGGAAATTTCTATAAGTTCTCTTATTTTCGAAGATAGGGGTCCCTATTCTAATGGGTATCTCTGTCTAATAAATAATAGAAATTTCAGTAATTTGTCAGTAATTACCCAAACTTCCTCGAAATTACCGTAATTTACGCACTCTATCTGCTGGTACTAAAAGAAAGCTGAAAACAGTTGTACAACAGGGCAGAAAACGCGGTTTCGGTGATTTTCAGCAGGTTTTCAGTGGTATTTCCTAAATTTCACGAGTAAAGCAACATTTCAGACCAAAGCGTTTCGGAGCATATTCGGAATGTGCGTGAAAAATGGAGCCGAATGACATATGTCTCATGTGTTCTCCATTAGTATCACTTTTCACCAAAAAATTCGCCCTTGGTACCCCCTCAGGAAAATCGAAAAATTAATTTTTGTCTGTTGCACTTTTACCTGCTGGTTTTGGCCCAAACAGTCAAAATAAGTCATCTCAAGTGAAAACTGAGTTTCAAGAAGATTAATTTTTAGTAATTTAAACTATTCGTAAGTTATATCGGTCGATTCAGCTTCAAATTCTGTGTCGATTGGTGTGCTTTTAGAAGTTTTAGTGAAAGGTATGAAAAACGAAAATTTCAAATTTTGCTCGAAAAATATTTTTTTCTCCAAAAGCAACCATGTTCTTTTAATCTTTTACCACCAGTTTATAGCGCGTTTTCCACTCTACAAAATCCGGTATAAACAATATATCCACTATACTTCCTTACTGAGTTGGAAAACATTTTTACATTTCATGTTGGTAAATGGTCAAATTTTTTAAAAAATTATTTTTGAGAAACGATCATAGTTTCAAATCAAAATTATATATGGTTAGATGCGGAACAAAATTCTCTATCGAACCTGCAGCTTTTTGGTACTTTCACATTTTTTAATCCGGCAGCGTCCTTTAGTTACAGCAAACGGCATTGGCAAAACACCGTATTTTGTCCACCTTAACTCTAAGTGCAATTTTTAAGCTTTTCATTTCAAAAGTGTAATGGTCCCAACTGCAATTGTTCTCATTAAGTATTGAGTGTGGCCCATTCATCCTGAATGATGTAATTTTTATGCCTTTGTGACCTTTGGATTAGGTTTTATAATTTTCTCGTTTGTCATAGGACTTCAACCAAATCAGGTCTGTATTTGTAATCTCCATCAACTTCCTGATCAATTGAGACGTCACATAAGTTTCATCAACGAGTTTATTTTTCCGAAACGAATTGATCCATCTGGGGCTGATCCAGGCTCTCAAACTTGTTTGTGTCCAAATATCTTGTGCAAACTTTATTCCGATCGGACACTCGATGGAGGTTACAAATACAGGCTTGATTTCAGTTAAAAGCCTAACGAGGGAAGGTCCCCAACTGGCAAATCGCTTTTTATCCCTTTTCTAGTGGACAATAGGTAATCGACTATGCTGAATCCGAATATCATAGTGGCTTGGGCAGTTAGGCCTTATAAGATCCGGTTTTTGAAAAACCGGTCTCCAGGTCGGGAAACTTTTTTCTCCAAAACAATTTTCTGATCTGTGGAGATGAAAGAGCATGTCGACAAACCTATGAAAAACCTATGATGTCTTGCCTATGATGTCTGCCTGAGCCGACTATGCGAGAAGAAAACCAATATTATTCATTTTTAGTAGCAAAATTCAGTTTCATATTTAGTCCACATACTCCTCAGACGAGATGATCAATAGCAAAAAAATACTGGTCTTTCGATTTCGGTATCTAATATTGCTAAGACCCAGCAGGTACTACCCATAGCTCGAAAAGGGAGAAGTTTCAGCTACTCGTACTTTTACCTTACGCTCAGTCCAATGAGCTCTACAACATAAATTAAAATCATTCAACTGTGAAGATTTTTAAAGCAAGGTTAAATTCATTCGTACTGGAAAAGCGCCTAAGTTGAGTTGAGACATAATAATAAGCATCTTTCTCTATGTTTCACAGAGAAATTATGCTTTCCCATAGGTTTCAGCTTCTTTTGAATTAGTATGGTATTTTTCGAGGTGGTTCCGTCACAGACAGCGTGATATAGCAAGAGATAAATTATTTTTTTAACATAGAAAACTTTCTCTAGGGTCTTAATGTCGTTCTTATACGTGCATTGAGAGCGTTATAACATTTAGACAAATACGATGACAGCAAGCAATATTATATTATAGATTACAAAAAATTAAAAGTCTTATTACATCAATGATTGATGAATATAAGTTAAATAAATGTCATACTTTCTCCTTTTTACATAAACTATATAAGAAACAACAGTCATTTCTATCATTGGTCTTCATTCTACCATTATGATAAGGTACGACTTTTAAATTATGTAATGTGTTATCCCATTGTACTTATTCTCTCGTTAGCTATCCGAACTGTCAATGGTTATATTCATTTATACAATACGGATCTGACAGAAAATGGGGATTACTACGATTGTTTATACACGTATTCAAATATACAAGTTACTTCTAAACACACAAATACAAATAAAGGTTGGTCGCTCTTACCCTACTGTTTTCGTCTTTCCGATGAAAATGAAATTGAATTTGAGAAGAAAAAATGTTATGGATACCCATTCACATTTTTGGAATTAAAACAGAAAAATGTAACCAGTGATGATCTGTATGAATGGAATTCACCCATCGATGTAATTGATCAGTATCAAAAATATATTGATAATGATTTATTGGATGAAAATAGCACAACATATTGCAATTGTTCTAGCTTATTTTCATTCGGTTCAAGATGTCAATATTCATTTCGTTATTCAAGCATCGAAAATGGTTTCGAACATGAAATTCAAGAACAATTTAGTTTAAGATATCGGTTAGATGATCATCAATTAATGAATAATCTGACATGTTATATTGAACTTGAATGTAAAAGTATATTGTGTTTAGATTGGAGACAAATATGTAACGGGATAATTGATTGTCAAAATGGCGAAGATGAAGAAAATTGTTTAGAATTAGAACAAAATATATGTAATAAAGAGACAGAATATCGTTGTACAAATGGAATGTGTATACCGAGACAATTTTCATTTGATCTAATATTCGATTGTATCGACAATTCCGATGCAAGTTGATCTAGCAGATGATGATATTTTTGATGCTCAGTGTTATAGAAGATCGTCACTTGAATGTGAAGATTATAATTGTGCCTGGTTGAAATATTCATGTTCCGATGGACAATGTATTAATTGGATTCATTCAAAAGATCAAACTGAATCGTGTGTCAGTAGACGTGATTTTTTATTTTTTCGAAATCTTTATGCTTATGAACCATCCGCAGCATTTTCGTTATTATGCTGGAAATATATAATGTGTTATACCAATAACAGCCCATATTCTTATATACCTATGAACTGTTGGATATTATGCAATAAATCCAATTGCTTATCCTTACTGTATGCACACTGTACCGAGCCATTCATTTTTCCATCAAGTTCTACTATACTACCGTTTGTAAATACTCTATATGTATTTAATCGAGATAACCGAACAAGACCTGATAATTTTCCCGATTTCATTTGCCATGATTTAAATTTATGTAATATATACCATTCAAATGATACGATCAACAGTTACACATGTCATAAAATAGAGGATTTCGATTTAACTGTTCAAGCATGGCCAGAACTAATACAGGCAGTACAGTTGCTATTTTCATACACATCTTGCTTTGTTAATAAAACTGTATGCACATCAAACTCACAGTTATTCCATTGTGAGACAAACAATGAATGCATATCGAAACATCGCATTCGAGATGGTGTTCGAGATTGTTTTGATAAAGCAGACGAAACATATTCTGATTCATGTAAATTGAATTTAACAGAGGACGGTGATTATTTCAAGTGTTTAAAAACGAATCGGTGTTTACCTCGAAGACGATTCTTAGATGGTCAAATTGACTGTTCCTACATCGATTTTTTCACAATGCCGAGTGATCGATCAGATGAACCATTCCGAATCAGTTGTAGAACAAGAGATGATTTTACTTGTACTTTAATACGAAATATAAATAACGTTTTACCAACATATTTTTTATTTCAAGACATTTGTGATGATATTTTGTGGAGAGGATATTTAATTGATAATGAAACAGATGAAACAAATTGTGAACAATGGCCGTGCAATTCACGAGCAAAATCCTGTAATGGATTTTGGAACTGTAAAGATGGTCGAGATGAACTAGAATGTCTGGATGCACCATTGATTTCTTCATTTCTAACTTACAACCTTTCCAAATGTAATAAAAATGAACATTATTGTGCGCAAATGTTACCGTCAAATAATACCGTAGTCTTCGGTTGTATACCAATACAAAAAGCAGGGGATGGTGTAATCGATTGTTTAGGAGCAACGGATGAACGTATGGGTCATTGTCGTTCAAGATTTCCCCTTGATTCAGAATTTAACGGGGAGTCGGGAAAAGTTCGATATCGTTGCATGAATAGTTCACATTGTATTAGACCACAGGATTTGTGTGACAGACGACAAACTTGTTCGTTCGAGGATGACGAAGCCATTTGCCCATGGTTGAAGGAAACATTGTGTCAACGAGAACAGACTTTTTCCTGTAAAGACAGTAGACTATGTATTAATATTAATTTGATGCGATGTAATGGTATTATTGATTGTTTACCAGACGGAGAAGATGAATGGTTTTGTGATATTACTGAAAAACATGTGTTGCGTGAGTTTTCACTTGTCGGTATAAACCAATATCCTGGAACTCACAAATCCAGTAGGGATCTTGTTAAGAAGAAAGATCTAATTATTACACCGAAGCATCGCTCGGTACAAGGACAATATAACAACAAGGATTTATGGCTTTGCTATCGTGGAATATTTCTCGAATCAAAAAACCTTCCAAGCCGCATAAAATGTTTATGCCCCCCTAGTTATTATGGTGAACGATGTCAATATCAAAGCAGGCGAATAACATTGTTTCTTCAAGTCCAAACTTTAAATACGTTTAAATCAGACAGTCATTTATCGAAACTAGTTTGTTATTTATTCAATACGAATAATGCCGTTGTTTCATCCGAAGAAATAATTCATAGTCCTTACAATCAATCAACACATAAACATATTATTTCCTTATCCCATGCACACACAAATGTATCTTCAATTCGTATTGATGCATATATAGTTAGTAGATATTCGGTTGATTATCAATCGTCTTGGTATTTTCCAGTGAAATTTTCGTTTTTACCAGTTAATCGGTTAGCCTATCACTTAATTTTACAACAAGACAATACTTTCTGTAGTAAAGCAATCGCCGATGACGTGACATGTATCCACGGTATATGTATGAAATATGTTAATTACAAAAAATATTATTGTTTGTGTAATGACGGTTGGTCAGGGGAACGATGTAATATAATGTCACCATGTGACTGTGGTCCAAATACAACATGTGTTCGGCTGGAAAAACGAAAATGCATCTGTCCTGTTGGTCGATTCGGTCCTACATGTCACGCAGTTTATGACCCATGTAAAGCGGCTGATTGCCACAATAATGGTACCTGTATGCCAGTTGATGAAAGATCATTAAAATATGTTTGTATATGTTCAGCAAACTATTATGGTGATGTTTGTCAATACCAGAATGCTCATATCAAAATACGTATGGATAACAATTGGCATTCATCCCATATACCAGCAATGGTCGTTCATTTTTTAAACATTCATCATAAGGCTGCCTTTATGGTACATCAAACGAGTTATCTATACAAAAACTTTATGTTTTCTACTAACAATTCATTAGACCTTATTCTTGACAAACAAGCATTTTTAACAACATTTATGTATACACAATTTTTTTTCACGGCAAAGAAATATTATGGAACATATTATCTTGCTGCAATACTCAAAAATAGCCAAATAAACTCACTTGAAACAGTTATCATGTCATCAAATTACTGTCCCCATGTTAACGAATTAATACAAAATCAATCAATTCGAGAATTATCACCTTTAAAACGAGTTAAATATTATTATAGCATATGTTTATCACATAAGAATATTAGCTGTTATCACGATGAAATATACCAGTGTTTTTGTGATAACAAATTTCAATCCGATTGTCTAATTTTTGATCATAGTACGAATAACTGTACTGCAGAAATTAGTTATTGTCAAAACGATGGTTTATGTAAACAAACAAATCGACAAGGTCAATGGGATTTCGTTTGTATTTGTGATGAATGTTATTATGGCATATTGTGTCAATTTACAACATTACAATATTCAGTGTCATTAGATGCTTTAATTGGTTCAAAAATTTACCTTGGAAAAAATATTATGAAACAACCCGTTGTCATCAAACTATCGTTTATATTCGCCATTTTAATGTTTACTGGTTCCTTAATCACTAACACATTATCAATAATGGTCTTTTGGCAACTAAACATACGAGCAGTTGGTTGTGGCATATATTTATTTGTATTATCAGTTGTTGGTCAACTAGGAATGTTTGTATTTGTTGTGAGATTTTTCTACATATTATTAACAAAACTAGCTACATACGAAAACCGCTTATTCGCTTATTACAATTGTTCCATATTTGAATTTTTATTAACTATTTTATCAACCATCTATGACTGGTTGACCGTATGCATTGCAATTGAACGAGCTGTAACTGCTGTCAAAGGTATAGAGTTTAATCAGCGTCTAAGTAAAACAGTAGCCAAATACGTAATTAGCTTTGTCGTATTGTTTAATATAATTATGTCGTTACATGAACCATTTCATCGACAGATCATTGATGATCCAATATCAACAAGTCATACATGGTGTGTCATGGAATTTAATAGAGATTGGCTAAAGATCTATGAAATAATAACAAATATAATTCATCTAATTGTCCCATTTTCAATCAATGTTATATCAACAATCGTTTTCTTGTTAAGTCTCGTTAGAAGAAAATCAAGATCGTTAACAAATAAAGATACTTATTATATACTATTGAAAGCGCAAATGCGAACACATAAACCATTTGTTATTAGTCCTTTATTACTCGTCATCATCGGTCTGCCACGTTTAATTTTTACATTTATATTTGCTTGTGTTAAATATGAATGGCAAACATATTTATATTTAGTTAGTTATTTCATTTCATTTTTATCGTTAACTGGAACACTGTTTGTATTCATACTACCGTCACCATTATACAAAAAAGAATTGAAAACAATTCTAAAGTATATCAGAGACTCATAGTTTCTTCGATACAACCTCTCATTTCCAGTTTAATTTTCATATTTATTAATCCAACGGCTTTTTTGTTCTACTTAGGGCAGTCAATAAATAACGCTCTTTTGGATTTTATTTTAAATCAAAGACATTTCTTTTGCAACATTATATGTATATATAAAGTGCGTCACGTGTGTATTGTTAGTATGCAGTACTTAACTTATATTGGCTTTTGATTGTTATTTTATAAACAAAAAACTTTGATAAATTAC